ATTTCAATTAGTCCATTGCAGCATTTGAGGAGGCTACAAGACACCATCTCATAGTGGAGCTCAATACTTCCTTACATTGATCAATGATTTTAGCAAATGTACTTGGGCTTATCTCCATAATAATAAATTAGATGGTGTATCTTTTTCTTCTTTTATTTTGTGCAATGGTGCTTTGACAGTTTGGATACACACTACAAGTTCTCCGATCAGATAATGGGTCTGAATTTCGTTCACGCCCCTTGCAAGAATTCCTCGTTGCGCAAGGGATTGAATTTCAACGTAGTTGTGTTGACACACCTTAACAAAATGGCGTTGCTGAAATGAAGAATCGTCKCTTACTAGAACTTGCTAGAGCCCTCCGCTTCCATTCCCACATGCCTATATCATTTTGGGGTGAGTGCTTACAAACCACAAATTACATTATCAACTGCTTACCGACTCCTTTACTCTCAAACAAGTCACCTTATGAAGTCTTGTTCCAAAAACCACTCTGTTATGATCATATGAAATCCTTTGGGTGTCTATGCTATGCGCAGGTTTACCCCAAACCTCAAGATAAATTTTCTAGTAGAGCCATTCGATGTGCCTTTGTTGGATATTCTTATGGCTAAAAGGGATAGAAATTATATAACCTTGAGTCACACCAACTCTTTACTGCATAGGACGCCCTTTTTTATAAGTCTCGATTCCCTTTCAAGAACCAACAATATCCCACCACCATTCTTGAACCACGCATTTTTCCATCCCCCAACCTCACATTTGATGACACAACTGTCCCACCACCTCCACAAACTAAACTCCAGCCTGCAGTTGACCAAACACAACCCATTTCATCACCCAACTCATCATCTGTTGATCCCCAACCCATAACCACCCAGTCGTTTGCTGCACCATCTGTTGATCCTCAACTAGGACCCCACTCACCTTTAAGACTATGTCATCAACCTACCACCTTCACAGATAGAATCTGAATCAACCACTTTCACTCAAGCTAACAGGGATCCCCGATGGCGCCAAGCCATGGTAGATGAAATCTCAGCCCTAGAACACAACAATACTTGGATTCTTGTGGACTTACCCCCAGGAAAGCAACCAATTGGGTCAAAATGGGTCTATAAAATCAAATACAAAGCAGATGACTCTATCAAGCGGTTCAAAGCTCGTCTTGTAGGTAAGGGCTATACCCAGGTTGAAGGATTGGATTACCATGACACCWTTGCCCCAGTAGCAAAATTAGTCATAGTGCGGTGTCTATTGGCAATGACTGCAATAAGAAATTGGGAAATTCATTAATGCGATGTTAATAATGCCTTTCTACATGGTGATCTTCATGAGGAAGTATACATGACCATTCCTCAAGAATATGCTCGTGAAGGAGAACATAGAGTCTGCAAATTGCAAAAATCCCTCTATGGCCTTAAACAAGCCTCTCGCGTGTGGTTTGAAAAGTTTACTCAAGCCCTTCTATCTTTGGGCTTCAAACAATCACATGCTGACTATTCTCTCTTTACATTGACATCGGGAGACATTGTTGCACTAGTCTATGTCGATAATGTCCTCCTTGCTAGAAACGATTCTATACGAATCACATATCTCAAGAAGTTCATGGACGACAAATTTAAAATCAAAGACCTTGGCCCCCTAAATAGTTTTTGGGCCTTGAAGTCCACCGCTCTGTTGAGGACGTATTTCTCAGTCAACACAAATACACAACTGATATTCTTCTTGATATTAGGATGCAAGACTACAAACCTTCCCCAACACCCATGGAGGCCCAATGCCATTTTGATGACACTTCTAACCCCATCTTGTCTGATCCATCATCATATCGAAGATTGGTGGGCCGATTAGTTTACCTCACAATCACCAAGCCCGATCTCTCCTTTGCTGTAAATTGCCTCAGTCAACATATACATGAACCTCGTCAAGAGCACCTTGATCCTGCCTTACGTGTTGTTCGGTATCTCAAAAGCACTTCATTGCATGGCATATCTCTCCCGAGCAATAGCAGCCTTGTTCTTATTGGTTACTCTAATTTTGACAGGGCTAGTTGTCCCGTCACCCGATGATCAACCACTGGCTACATCACCTTACTCGGCTCGTCTCCTCTATCTTGGAAAATCAAAAAGCAGCTGATTGTTTCTCACTCCTCAACAGAAGCGAAATACCGAGCAATGGCCTCCATAACAGCCGAATTAGTTTGGCTTCAACATCTCTTAGCTAATCTCACCATCAACTTTCATCACCTATGCAATTGCATTGTGACAGCAAGGCAGCACTTCACATAGCAACCAATCTGGTTTTTCATGAAAGAACGAAAGACATTGAAATTGACTGTCATTTCGTTCATGAACAAGTGCAAAATGGCTCCTTATAGACTCATCACTTATCGAGCTCCTCTCAGCTAGCTGATCTTCTCACAAAGACTCTTCTTGTAGAAAAGTTTCATCATCTCCACTCCAAGTTGGGCGTTTTGTTGCTTTCCGAAACTCTAACCTGAAGGGGGGTGTTAGGATTAGAGTCTTGGGCCCACGTGCAATTTAGCCACATGGCCCACTTGCAATATGSTCAGTTAGCTGGGTTATTACATYGCAACCGCCCATCTTTGTAATTATAAATACCATTGTCTTTCAATAAGAACTTACAGAAGTTTCACATTTCCAATACTGCCTTACACATCTCCTTGGCAAGATCTTCAATCCAAAAGGAATTCATAAGAAGCTTCCCCAGCTTGGTCCTCTACAAATGGGTTCATAAGAAGTAACAAAAGGTCATTGTACTAACCCTCCTCTGTCCTCTCTGCAAATGGGTTCATACGAAGCTTCCCCAACTTGATCCTCTCTACAAATGGGTTCATATGAAGCAACAACGGTAATTGCAATGGCCCTCAAATGGGTCCATACGAAACTTCCCCAGCTTGGAACTAAAACCCTTGTCGGTTCCTACTTGCTCTAGTACGGGCCATTGATAAAGAAGATGCCCCATTTGAATCACCCGAAGGTCATCTCTTCCATGACCCTTGTTGTCTCCAATGTCGCACAAGCCCAATCTATCATCCAAACCTTAAGGATTGTCATGATGAAGGCGGAGCAGTGGTTTGCTTCCTATCTTCTTGAAATTTAGGTTTTCTTTTGAAAATTTAAGGTATAATGGAAGGAAAATTTAACATTTCATTTTTGTTAGAAACAGTAGGGGTGGTGCAAGACAATAGTTAAACAATAAGGGTATAGTTAGTCAACTAGCTAAACAATAGGGGTAGTTTAAGAAATTTGCTTGTAACTTAACTTTATAAACTTGTTAGATGGAGTGAAGTTTAGAAGGACAATTTTAAATTATGTCCAAAGATGCCCTAATAAATAGTAAGGGCAATTTCATAATTTCCAAGTCTTCATTACTGGGTAATGACGGAAGGGAGGTAATTGTAGATTTTTTTAAACTACAAATGAGTTATTGTAAGGTAAAACTTCAGGAAGGTTTTTATAATTGTCAGAAGACGCCATTAGGCAGCATATAAACTCAACAATAAATAAACGGCTTTGGTGTTGGGAGAAACATTAAAAATGATATTTTCTCCAACAACTGACTATCAGACAAACCATGAAAATATTTATTTAATAAATGATCTTACCAAATAATGGTATTTTCACCCAACGCCTATATGATGATAACCTAACACCATTTTTCAAATAAACAACCACAGAACCAAATGCCATCTAAGGCCAAGACATACACCTTGTATTTGAGACACAATGGGTTCGATGACTTTATTTGCAAGATTGGTAATACCGAAGACTAGAATCTCTGTTGATGTTGCATCTATCTACACCGATGCTTCCATTCTCTAAGGCAATTGCTAACCAACACAACACCTTCCACCAGTCTAAACCAAAGGTCCCCAGCCATGACAGAGCAATCCTAGCTTTTAGCATGGTGGATGCCCTCTTGAGTGGGCCAAACGGCAACACCCTAGTGGGTTGGACATTGGCGACTGGAATCTTTGCAACTGCAAGGGTGAATTCTCACGCATGGTTCAAAGTATTGATACACCTCTGTGTATCGGCACTTTGATACTCCCCTTAAAAAGAATGGATTTCCAAAAACACCTCTAGGTGTATCGAAAATCAAGATACAATCAAGGTTCAAAATATCGATATGCCCGATATGCCAGTAGGGGAATATTGGGCGAATCGATACCCTTTTTTTTTACTTCATTTTTATTTTTTTTTTCAAAACCGATTCAGGGGAGCCAGTTTAGAACTCCTCTACCCCCTGAACCGGTCAAACCCCCGATACACCAACTGTAAGGGCATATCAGAGGGGTCCCAAAACGATACGTATCCACCAATATCGGCCGATACACATCGATACTTTAAACCTTAGATACAATATGATTCACCCGATACAGGGCATGTCACATTGAAACTTTGATCCTTGCTCTCACGACAAAAGAGCAAATTTGGATTTTTCAAAAAAAAAATCATCTACATATAATATTACAAGAAAACAGAGGAAGATTGTTTGAGAGATCAGATGGGCTCCCCACTGTGTGCCCCACAGGCGCTTCACAGCCCATCTCCCCCGTGCATTAGGAACATCTCTTCCATTCTTGTGTCATGGGGAGATGTTCCTAATTCACGGAGGGGATGAGCTGTGGGGAGCCATCCCGTCTCCATTAAAGGGGGGGAGGTCTTTTGTCGATGATGATGATGCCATACAAGGGAGGTCTGTGAAAAGAGAGGAAGTTCTAGTATCATTTAAGTCTTTTATCCTTTTGTTTTGTTAATATTTATTTATCCAAAAAAAAAAAGGAAACAGAAGTTGGTCGTAAACCAAGGTTGAGTCAGGCAACAATTAAAACCCAGAGAGACTTATATAAATATTCAACCTATGCCCAACAAGAATGCTAGCATAACTTGGGATTTGAGAACGATTTGCTTCAGGCAGGTTTAATAGGACCCTGCCCAAGTTAAACCACCATTAAATTCTGGGTAGAAAGTATGTGGATAAATAAATAGTAGATGCTGCATTGAAAAAGGTCTTACAATGACAAAATTGCATGCCATGAATTGGTAATGAGAACTCAGCTGCAAGAATACAAAGAAGGGAGTGAATAGAAATTATCTAATTACAAGAGATCATGCGCCACTTTATTTCCCACCCGTCTTCCATTTTTTGACTGGGAAAAGAGTTAATTTTGTACTTGAGATGTTAGGCCCAGCATCTGTTGGTCGTAATCTAGAAATGGCAACCTGGTTCTGATCATTGTTGCCCTTGTCGTCAGTAAAAGGTTTCACCTCAAATGCGCCTCTTGTGAAGCCTCTAGCAACCTGACACTCAAAAAGCCTAAAAGTGAGTAGTTTATTTACAAGATATAATTGTTGTAAACAAAAATTTCAAGGATGATTTGGGGAATAAATCAGCATACACATCCATAGTCACTCAAGTAAATAAACACAGAAATGTCATGGGCTCCAACTGTATTCTGTGTGATTTTCAATCTGTAGCATCCAGCACTGAAGAAATAGTTTCATCCATTTAGCATGAGATTGGAATCAATACTCCAAAAAGAAAAGTGAATCATGCCAAAAAACATGCAGGCCGGACACAACCACAAAAATACCCTTACATATTAAAAAACCAAGGATTGAATCTATAGCCATGGTTTATTATACAACCCATAAATTATAACATGTAAAACAAGATGGTAGTTAAAAAAGGATAATAACACACATGACGGTGTTCTGACTTTTGAGTCACACTACAATAATCAGTGCAGCAAGATATCAAAATTCAAAGTTATGATATCAAACATGATCAAATAAATGTACCACTCCATCTATTGCTTTCTTTTGGGTGCTTAAACAAAACATAAAAGTCAAAAACAAAGTAAGAAACGGGTACAATTGTTATCATTTGTCTGATCAAGTCCATGCTTGGCCAAGAACGTATCCCAGGCAGGATATGCTGAAAGGTGGACCAAATCTGCCAACTTGGAACATCCACCAATTAGCCTAATATTCTGTTTATAGGCTTCACGAGTTATGCTTAAGTTAAATATTCCATAATGTATTACTTGGTGCCAAGATATAAACATGATTATGTATATGCATTTCAACTATCCTTCCGGACTAGCCTAGTATTACTTGGTTCAACGGATATACCAAACATTTCTCTAATATTACTTCATTTCAATTATCCATGCTAAGTAGCAGTGAAGCATATAACTATGAATGAAATAGCAAAACAGAGTTACTGTCCAACATTGCTTATTGTGTACTTCCCATTTGCTTCCATTGAATGGAAACCGGGGGAAAAGAATTCAGTCTGGCATACCTTAAGAAGAATCCACACTTTGAGAGAACTACTCAGGATTGCAAGCCTTGTCCTTTTTCCTGAAGTCAAGTAGTTACACATGTAGCGGTCCACCCTCAGCACAAACCTTGGCCAGGACTTTGGGTTTTCAAGGTCTGCCTTTTTATCTGATTTCGCCTGATACAAACAATAGAATGTCTATTTAACACCACTAAGAACAAAAATAAAATAGAGAATAAAAATTAATCAAGACTACCATTCCAAAAGTTGAATCTCCTGCCATATGCCAAAAAAAAAGATAGTACAGAAAAGGCGCCAGTTATGCAAAGTTCCATGAAAAGAATGATGGAAGGATATCAGACATTTATATGTAATTGGACATATAGTCACATAGATTGGAAAATATCCCACTCTTTTTTTTCTTCATTGCTTGTTCTTAGGCCATTAAGCACAGGTGGATTCCCTTACGAATATCATCAAATCATGGAATAACAAAACTGTAATAAAGATAAAATTTCCCTAATAACAGAATGACTTCACTCACAAGCAACCGACAAATTTCATGCTCAATTTTTGAAAATGAAGTCTCTAGAGCTTCAACTCTCCCAGTAGCATGACAGCAGGTACAAGGTTCACTGATCATAAATGTCACGCTAGGACGGACCTGTAGACCATTGAGCTACCATTTAATCAGATCAAACAATAACTACCAATCTGGAATACTTGTAACAAAATACACACATTGAACACTAAAAATATGCATGCAGGAAGAAACATTTATATTTACAAGAAAGAAGCATACCCTTTTTCTGGTTATTTCCATCAGCCCATGCCTAGACAGTTCAGAAACCCTCACCATTGACCGATCTCTCTCAACAGCCTTCTTCATTTCTTCATAGACCAATCTCTTATTTGCTGGAGATCAGTAAACCAAAAAATAAACAATATAAAGAAAATAAAACCAGTAAAAATTGTGACATGATTTAGGAACTAACTACTGGGTGCATTCCAGAAGTTCCAAATTTTCTTTGGCCATAATTTCGTAGAAACAAGTTCAGTACAACCAAGATTCAAAGTAACAATATGATACGCCCCATATCAGGCATATCATATCGTTTCAGCTGGTCATCAATACACCTTTTTAAAGGCTTTTCCAAAAAGTCGTGTTTTCAAATGTTAAATAACATTWTCATTGTCCACCTGTGAAAATATGAAAGTAAAAAAAATAAAATAAAAAAAAGTTTTTCATTCACCTGAAACACCTGATACGCAAGTTCATGCATATTGGGTGTATCAATGCTTTGAACCTTGAGTACAACAAAAACAATTTTTATCTTTGATAAAAGAGGCACTCAATGAAATTAGCATGCATATAAATCGAAAAATCAGCAATACACTTTACTAATAATACTAATTTGCCTTTCAGAACATATCGACTCATTGATCTAAAAGACAATAGCATTTTAAATCAATTAATTTCAATATTTCAAACACAATATTATATCATAATAAGTATTTAATACAGCAATTGCATGTTAAAAAAATTATTAACTAAAGGTCATAATTTTATACTAATAATATAGTTTTTAAGAGAGAGAAATGAAAAGAGAAAAAGAACAAGGGGCAAAACCCCTTGTGCTATTTAACATGAGAGAGAGAGAGTCCTAACAAAACCTCCTTATCCTTATCTTCTTAAAGTCGGTCCTGATTGATAAGTTTTTGAGGAAGCTGAGTAGAGTTGGTTCCAGGGCTGCTGTCACGAAGTGCTTCAAGAACACATCTTTCTGGGAGTTTTTGAATGGTACAAGTCTGTTTAGAGGCTGATGGGGAGAGGCACCTAGTGCCTGTGTTGTTTGTATGTAACTTTCTTGGTTCTTCTTAGGGGCCTTTTACAATCCCTCACTGCATGCTGTCATCAACCTCGTATGGTTTTGGTCTAATATTTTATGAGCATAATAATAATATCTCACTTTAATAAACACAACTCTGATTTTCTACTATGGGGGGGG